ATTATTAAATGTAATACTTGCTGTTTTCTGCATTTGTGTTTGATATCTGTTGAAAAATTAGGGATGAATCCCGACAATCGAACAGAGAAAGTCAGCCCGGGGAAAATGTAATTTACCTTCCTGAATACATTCAAAATGATTTCTGAAGACGCTCATCCTGAAAATCTAAAAAGGCAACATCCATTTTCACACCCTCAAGTCCAAATGCACTCCCTCTGTTACAGTGTGCACATTGTTTGTCATGAAATATTAATGTTGCTCGGGTGATCGAGACAGATTTGTTATACAATAAGAAATTCGTATGACAGGTTTCACAAATTCGGGGCAGATGAAAAGTGTGTCAGTAGGCTACACTCCATGGAGACATGAGAATCAGGGCAGCTACTCACAGTGGCTACAAAGTGAGCGATGCACAATACGAAGCTGATTTCTGACGGTCCCTTTGCCTCTTTTGAATCCTACATCCATATCAAAAACTCTTGAGACCTGTTCTTTCGCTTGCCACCAGCAGATTTGTCGGAATAATGCTGGAAGGATTTAGATTATACCCACAGAATATGTTTTTGAAGTCTTTGCCAAATCCAAATTTTCCAAAGGACGCCGTTTGTGGCTGGGTTTTGCTGATATGAACGCCTTGGGGGCATAACAATGGAGATCATGACAACGATGGAAGCTTCTAGGGCAATCTGTCAAACAGCGGTTACCACCAGGCAACTGTTAATCAATTTGCCTGACACAAAAACATCAACCAATAGGAAGTGAGCGGGGAATGTGGCGGGCAGGGGTGGGGGGTGGGGGAAAAGTGTGAAATGAGTCACTTCACTTTGCACTTTTCCTATTTCTGCTTTCAAGCCGCTGCAGAGCCGTGAGTCATTCTGAGGAGTGCTCCTCTGTGATGATTGACAGACTGTCCAGGAAGCAGATTCACCAGCTGCTTTAACAGCACTGACACTCAAAATTTGTCACATTCTCATTTTAAGAAGATCTCTTGATTTTACAGTTGTACCTGGATGATGATTATCAGTTTATCAATTTGAAATTTTCACATTTCCTTGTGATAGTGACCTGTTAAGAAGTGACCTTTAAGAAGTTGTAAAGCATGTAGCAAGTCAGATGTAAAGCTTACCTAGCCACTGAAGTGATGATGTAATGAAGAGAGGAAGAATAAAACAAATAAAATGAGCATAATGATCTACCAGGCCTAGTTTGTGTAGAAAATATTTATTTTCAACCATATGCAGATTTTTCCTTTTTTTGACTTTATTCTGTACCTCTATACAGAATTTCAACTTTGAGCTTCATTCCCTTTTTTAATGGCTTTCAATCACCTCTCACCATCTTTATCAGCATATCTGGGCAACTGAACTTGAAGAGAACAAGAGGCTAGCAAAACTGACTGACTTATGGCCCCATTCAATAAAAATGTCTGAAATTAATAGTTGAACGTAGTCTTTAAGAAATGTTTTGTTTATTGAGGACCTAAAAATACTATTTGTTATTCACCATTTGCTTGACTTAAGAGATCTCTATGTCTGCCTACTGTAGATCACAATTTTCTCTTAGTCAGGAATTGCCATGTTGTTTACAAGTTGTTTAGCAGCAGCTTCTCCTTAAACATGAGTGCAAGACTGGAGAGGGTTGACTATCATTTCAGCTACATAGAAGGCCCTGTGAAATCACTGTATCTAGGCAGGATTCTCACTTACAAGCGTTGATTCTAATAGATTGGGAGTGGGCCATTGTTTTTCCCAGTGGGCCATAAGAAACTGGGACTTTTGTGGAGGGCTGTGCCAATAAACTGAACTCAATTCTGCTCAATAACAATTTTATCTCCCTATAAGCTTTTGGTGTGGCCCTCCACAACAGTCCCAGTTTCTTATGTTTGCCCCCGGAAAGATTAATTGCCCACCCCTACTGCAGGTGACGTTCATGTCCTTTGAGACAATACACATCCCACACATCACTTAATTAATCTAGACTTTGCACAGACATTATTTCAGTAGTGAAGAATCAACTTCACTGCTCAAGAAATGTACCTATAATTTATAATGACAGTTTCTTACAGCGCAGTTATCCCACTGTATTTTTTATAAACTGTGTTTTTCTTCATATTTACAGGCAATGTCATAATGAAGCAAGGGCAAAGAGATCATGTTAAGGAATGCCACAATATCAGATTTTCACCCCACAATTATCATGTCCAAAACATACAGGCACTACATTTACTCTTCTTGGGTGCGAGAGGCTTCAAGTGTTTTTTTCCAGCATAATAGTAGCCACAAAGTGTAGCAACTAGCTAGCTAGTTAGCTACTACCCTAGCTATTGCAGTAGTCAGCTAGCTAGCATGATGTAATTTTCTTTTTTGCTTCCTTTTATAGCAATTAAGGTGCCATACGTCTATAAGTCAGTGATATCACTACTTCATTTTTCAAACATCAAGGTTATCGTGAGTGCTGGTATATTGTGATATTGTCAGCTAGAATATTTTCCACAGCAGATATTTTGGCTCGCCACTGTAGGAAAAGAGTAATGAATAACCTTAGTTCCTGGAACCTGAAGTCCATTAATTTTCAATTAGTCCATGTCAGTCGGGAAGCATGAAAAACACCCGGAAGCCAAGGGGATGCTCAGAAGGATGTGTGTAAATAAAAGGCAGATGTAATTACCGCTATTAGTTACACTTGTGGCAAAAGGTCTGCTGTGGAAAATGCTTATTTATACTACATGCCCCATTTTTGAATGTCTGTGATGAAATTACAATTGGAAAGTGCTAAATACAACTGGAAACATCCACCATGACTAAACTCACTTAATTTGACCACAAAGCTTTCAAAGTATTTTTGTGTCCAGATGATTCCCCAACAAGGACCTGAGAGGAAGATCAATATGCTAAACAAATTAAGTATCCGTAGGGCTTTTTGACTTTTTAGCGAAGTGTAATAGCAGTGAAGTATGAACGCAAATTGGCTTGACAGTACCGGAGATGCACGATAGACACAGGTGAAAACTGTGATCCAATGCCTGAAGTGCATGGTTTTATTAAGGATGAGCGGTTTCATTAAGGACCAAAGTATTTTTCCGTAAATGGGAATCTATGCAATTTGTTTTTCTGTGTTAAATAGAGTGTTTGGCTGCCTTGACTGTTGAATAATGCATTTTACTCTTGTATCTTATTTCAGAGAACTGGGCATTCCACACGGACATTTGGCAGATTTACCCATGGTGTGTTGTCAGTATGAGCTTTACACCAGTTCTATTCTACCGTAGTCTCTTCCGTTATTATATTTAATTCATTTATTTATTATTTTGGTTTTAAAAAATGTAAATTTGAACCATTTTTCTCTTTTTTTGCCTGATCCCATTTCTTTTGTCACCATTTTAGCTTTCAATGGCATGCGCTTCAGTTGGAACAACTCTTTTATACATAAAAGCTGTTTTTTACATATGGTTTTAAAAACACCTGTATTGCTTCTGTGTATGTTCTACTGCTCGACTCCAGCAAGAAAGTGGGGCTCATTCTTGTACATCCACCCCCACAAAGCAATATTGCTGCAGCATAAAAATCCTTGAAAACTGTGTAAATTTGACGGCTTGAGGTATAATATTTGGCAATATTTGTGTAATGTAAGCTGTTCCAGTCACATTACTATTCAGGCTATACACTTCAAAAATATATTTCCTTGTAATTACATCACTGAGTTGATTTAACTCGCCTGGCGTGCGAGCTATTTAACTTCATTTGATACAGCTGGGTGGATCTACATACCCACACCTGTAAAAAAACCCCACACATACACACGCTAGCAGTGCAATAGGTTAATTGTGCTTCTTCATGTTACACTGGCTTTCTTATTGTTAGGCAGAGCTTCTGGAATTATCTAATAAGGATGTGACTTGATGTGAGGCGCAATGAGGTGCAACCTATTTTGTGGTTGTCGTCCTCCTCCTTCGCAGGCTCTCTAACCAGTAAACATATCTGTCAGCCACCCAGCAGTTTGGCTGGTGATTTTAGACTCTAATGGGTACGAAGAGGATTGGTCGTGTGGGTGAGAGAGATGCTGGTTTCCATAGTAACGGTGCTCTCCCGTCTGCCCTCTCTTGCTGCCACTATGGAAGCGAAGTTTTCCGCTCCTGCCGAAAGCAAAGCTATGGTAAACCCGCCTGTCATCCTCTCTCCTTTGTTTTTATTTATTTGATCTGTTTCTGTCGCTGACCTCATCTGATGTAATGTGATCTCAGCAACGGAGATGTGGTTTCAGGCTCCTTACTTTGACCCTGAGTGTCTGTGTGTGTGTGTCTGTTTGCCTCTGTGCTGCATCTTTTGTCTTCAACATTTAGGCCGAGCTTTGTCAATCAGCGATCTGCACTCTGTTTGCATCGTGTTTATCGTCGTCACACCCTGTTGTTTTTGTGTCCTTTCCATTTTTGAATGTTCCCCATAAAACCGAGAACCAAGTCAGATGTTTATCCCACGTCTTCTTTTTGTAAATTATGCACTCAGAGTTCAGCTTTCACTTTATTATTTTTTTGCAAACCATATTTATTTACTGATTGTAGTTGTCCTCTTTTGTGAAAACAGTCAAAATGCATGAGTTCAAGTCAAATAACAGCGTTGAGTAAAATTTAAGATTTTGCTCTTCTTCCTTATATATAGATTCCTCTTGAGCTTCAAGCTGACTCAAAGCTGAGTGAAGAGCATCTTTACATACCCCTCCCCTGCATGCATTTTTATAAGCCACAGCTGGCTTCATGTCACGCTCCAGTTTCAACCCATTTATTTCACTCTGGGGGGGCGAGGAAGGGGAGGGGGGGCTCTCCGCAGCTCTTTTCAGTGACCCATCAAAACGTCTGCTGCTAAGCAAATGTGAAAAGTCATTTTCTACCTGCGCTCTCTTGTTGTTTCCAGCCTCCTCTTCCCGCCCTCCACCTCAGCTCCTCTTTGCTGGATTTCCACCTTCTCCCGTCTCATCTCAAAGTGTTTTCCTTCTCTCTGTTTCAGACTCTGAGACCACAGAGGATGAGACCACAGAACCTCAGATGGAAACCAAAGAAGGGCCCGGGAGGCACCATGACAAGGCTGGCCGGAAAGGACCTTCAGGTATTTTATTTAAACTCCTTTTTTTTTTTTTCATTTTTTAAAGCTTATGTAAGTTTGTGGTTTCAAGGCTTCGTTTTTCTTTTTTGAACTCATATTTTCTAGCTGCAAGCTTGCACTACTTAAAGAAAATATTCTGCAGCTCTTTGTCCAAAATGATATTTAGCCCGATTTACAGCTCCACCACCAACATCTTTGCCAAAAACACACTTGTATAAAATTATGATAGACAGATTTAATGGAGGCTGTTATCATGCCGGCCCAAGACGTGCGCTGGATGAAATCCGATATGGCAGAAGGCATTAATCCCTCATGGTGTGATGCAACAGTGTGACACACTGCCCTAGTTTCAAGCAGGGAACCTGTCTCAGGTCTGGAGCTCTCTGTGTGGCTCCACAGAGGAACGTGCTGTCCAACAAAAATGGGACTATTTCTGCTGGATAAATGAGGCTGAAACGAATGCATCGAGTACACATGCTGTGCCAATTAAAATGTAAATGTACATCGTTAAGTTTAAATAGAGGTGCGTTAATGAACAGAGATCAGGTGGAACGGTCCAGTGGGTTGGTGAATGTTATGGTATACTCACCTAAAAATGAGGTGCTGCATGAGATTTCTTTCTTTCACAGTTTACCGTGCTGGTGTAGAGCTTCAACAGCTCAAATAATCAGTGAATTTACTGGCTGGTTAATCATCTTCCAGCTTCTCCAGTGGGAGGATTTGCTTTGCTTTTCTCTCCAAATTGAGGATTTTTGCAGTTTGGACTGCTGTTTGCACAGGAAAAGACACGGGAAGCCATTTCTTGGATAACACAGATTTGGGAAATCATAAATTATTGATAGTCTAAGACCTACTATTGTTTATATTTTTCAAATGAATGTATCATATCTATTATAATGCCACCCAGAAGTTTGTGGTTTGTGAGCTCTCCCTTCTAGTATTATGGCCATTACTGTTTTGGTCTTTTGGAGGAGAAATGAACACATTTGGACAAGAACCAAAAGCTGCACAAGTGCATGACACAGATACAGATACATGGTATTTAGATCAGATATTACACAAACACACTAAGACTACTGCACAGACTTCTTAGAGGAGCTGTTAGTGGACATAACTTTACAGCAAGTCAAAGCATAACCTTAAACTTTGATAAAATTTAAATGGTGGAGTTATCCAAAGATGTGTGGCCGTTATAGAAGGGGAAATTAGTCATAGATACTGAAGCTGGCATTTTAACATGCAGGGGGAGCCAGCCTCAAGTGGCTTTTTGAGTAGCTGTGCACTGTGCAAAAGATTTGAGGCAACCCACACTGATGGTACTTTCCTGTGCTCATAATTCCATCGACTTTGACAAAACCTCCAACACCACTGGCTTAACGAAACCCCCAATAATGACAGAGCGTCCACCGTGCTTTACACATGGCTGCAGACACCTACGCATTCAACGATTTGGACCAAAAACTTCAGATTTAGATTTGTCACTCCTGTTGCCAATGTACACTCTGGTTCTTCCCTTGAGCTAGGTACCATTTTGTGCTTTAATAATTCATGGGTCAAGTGTGCCAACAAACAAAAAGCATTAATCTGAAAATGGTCAGGTACAAGGACTGGACTGAAAATGAGTGAAAAAGCAGATTAAAACTTTGAAAGACCTTCAGAAAGCCTGGAGAACTATTGCTCGAAACCGCTAAAAAAAAAAAAGGCAAGAAAGTCTGGCTCCTTGGAAGCAAAATATAAAGAAACGAGTTGTGGCTCAAGACTTTTGCACAGCAATCCATATTGGCTTCATTCTTCATCCACAGAAGTGTCTTTTCGTCATCTTTAATTCAAACTCTCAGGATCTCAATAATTTGACTTTAATATAAGTTTGACTTTAACAGAGGTCTCCGTTCCCAAGTTCTGTATCTCACGGTCGTGGGTTTGGGATTCTTTTTGGATTTCAGAAGAATGTTATTTAGTCCAAGAGCTTCTTGGTTTTGTTATTTATGCTTTCTATGCTTGTCTCCTGTGTAAAGTCAACCTTTTCTCCATGTTTGTTTACATTTTGTGTTTGTGTCAGATTTGAATGTTTGACTCTTGGTGTGTCAGCGTTCACTAGTTCCTGTTTTATTTTGATAGTTTCTTATTTTATGTGCTTTGTATTGAGTTTTGCTTTCCCGCTCTCATTATTCCGGATTTGTTGGTATTTCCTTGTGTCTCGTCTTATCCATGTCCTTTCTCAATGCTGTGTGCTCCCTTATTCTGTGTTTTCCCTTTGACTCAAGCCCTTCCTTGTTTTTGTTTTTAGAAAAGGCTTCAGCAATAAAGCTGCTCTTTAATTTTGAGTCTTGTCTCCCAAGTCCTACATTCTAGTTCAAATGTTAAACTCCTCAAAGCCCCCAGCATTTGATTTCCTCTTTTCTGTAATAACAGCCCAATTTAAAGCTACTGTAAAGAAAATCTTCCAAGATTTTACAGTTTGGAAATCGCTCTTATTCAACTAAAGCAATGAACTAAGATATATATTTCATCCCTGCTGAAGATTTTTTTTGTTGCTAAAATAAAATTGCATATTGACTAATAGGTACTGTGTGAGGCAGTTTACTTGATCTAAAGCAAATCAGATTAAGCCTAAAGAGCATTAAATTTGATACAGGAGGAAAAAGAAATTCAAATCCTCTGGATCTTAATGCAAATGTCTAAAATTTAAAGGGGGGGAAAAAGCATTTTGTCTAGCGGCAAGGTTACGCTTGAACCTGTTAGTGTTGCGTTGACGAGAACAATTCCTGAAAGAGTCTTTACTAATTTGCTAAAGTGGTGCTGGTGCATTGGAGTCGTAGAACCTTTACGTCCTCGCCATCCACTCCTAACCAAGCAACATGATGTCTGAATATAGACCTGAAATATTGACACCCTTCTCCTCTACCACAAAGAAATGTTACAGTATATTCTTTCCTCGCTCATACTCGGTGTTTGCACTTTCTAAGCTTTTGTGTTGGTGGGCTGACTACGCCCTCATCACGTCCCTCCAGAGACAAGCCACAGAAAAATAGAAAGAGAATATCAAATGAGGGAGGGATGAGGTGATACATCATTTGTTTTCTTCATGGAACAGAGTGGTTGCCTCTGCTGAATACTAAATAATGACTACAATACCTTGTAATACACAAACAAGACACATTTTCTCCTTAGGCAATGTATTCCAGAAAATATTTCCGGCCCTAAAGCCAGACACGGATGAGATATGTTTCAAAGCACGGCGTGTTCAAATAAAAATGAAAGCTGCTGCCCGGCCTCAGAGAGAAGTGAAAATTTTGAAGCTGTATATATCAAGGGCTAAAAGTGTGGCTGCTGTGAGAAGATTTCTCATTTTGTTCCATCAGTTTTTTTGAGAAACTGATATTGCACAGCTTCTGATGGTGACGCTGAGTCAGTATCATTCAATCAGTCAAGCGCTAAGATGGTTTTTTTTTTTTATCCCCGACCGTATCGTTGCTTCAAGGTTTCCTTCGTTAACAGAAGATGCTGACCGCTCTTTTTTTATGCTGCTAAAGCATTCTTGTCTCCGTTGCTCATCGCTGGGCGAAGGATCACTTTAAGTGGTACACGTTTCAAACGTGGCCCCTTCACTTTCCGTTTCATTTCCTGTTTTCAAGCAATCAATAGGCTGTTTATCCATCATGCTTAACAACGCTGTCTTCATTAGACGTCATTTCCCCCCCTCCACGGGTTTTTTGCTTGCTTCTTACTCCATTAACTTCCAGTTAAGACATTAAAAAATATTTTAGATATAGGAATGCTTTATTAGAGAGTAAAGCAAAATCAGAGTCTTGGTGATACATCTTTTCTTATTAGATTTCTGCTAAAATGTTTTTAAGAGGAGCACGGTATTAGGAAATTACCATGCTTCCATTAAAATGGTTTAATTCACACGGCCCTCAAACTGTCTCTTCAATCTGATGAAGTTTGACTTGCAGGAACTTCTATAACTTCTATAACACCAAAACCAAAAAAATAAGTATATACCTGTGTATATACCATACAATAAAAACAGTCATGCAATATGCAATATGATATGAAATGACGTGATATGATGATCCAATGATGGTTGGTATGATATGAAATGATAATACAATACAAAGTGGTACAAACAATGTGAAATGATACAATACAACATGAAATAAACAGATCCAGACAATACAATTTAGTTCAATATGACATTTTATGTTATGATATGATACAATAGACACAATATAAAAAGATACGTGTCATACAATAGACACAGTACAATATAATATAATACAATGTGATATCCAGCCTATTCATTTATGTCCACTGTAATGAACATTTGTTTTTGCTCTCTATCATCATCACATCATATTTATATCAAGTCCTGATGTGCTCAACAGAGGAAATCGTGGCCTTTCCAATGGTATCTTATGTGTTTGGCCTCTTTTCGCTCTGAAGAGGAAGAAATATTAAATATTTTCTTCATCCCATATTTGGAAAATGCCTTTAGCCTAGTAACTATTTACTTACTGCAAACAAATGGCTGCTTATTTAGCCATGCCTGTATATAATATTCTGTTATACAAGAAAGCTATATTGTTATTGTTAAAAACAAGTAACCACAGTCTCACCAATGAATTAGAAGGCTCCACAGTTCAAGATCATTTTCAACACAGACACAGTTTAGTCTCTCTATTGATCGCCCACAACAACCAATATATTGTTGTTGTTGTTTTTTTAATGCTAAAAGTCAGATATAAAATTATACAATTGTAATTTTTAAATTCAAACAGTCTCTCTCCCTTTCTCTCTTTCTCTGCACAGGTGAGGGAGGAAGGGTGATGGACTACAATCCCGATGCTTCAGATCGCAGGGCCACCCTCCCCGGCACCTATGACCCTGTAGTGGAGCGAGAGCTCCGCACTCTGGGTTCCCGACCTCCAGGGCCCCATTTGGATCCCACAAACCCAGCAAGGCAAGGCCTCGGTGGGGGTCCTACCGAGGGGGCCCCCCCTGTCCGTCACCTGGGTGTGGAACCACTCATCCGAGCGTCTCACGCTAACCTTGCCCGGCCCATTCAGGGGTCAGAGGAAAGTGTTTCCGTAGGCAGCGACTACTATGGGAGCATGTTCAGCCTGTACAGAGGGAGAACATTTTCTATGCCGTTATAGCACATGGCTTTTTAATTCCCAGGATTTCCCCCAAAAAGCAAAAAGACTGTCCAGAAACCCAAATTGCAATGAAAACTGACTCATACGGCAAGACATTATATCCTCCATAGACCCAACTCGCAAAAACTTTATTCCATTTGCTATACAATTTGTTATTCATTTTTTACTCTTCTTTATATATTCCCATTTTTCCATATAGTGTACTTTTTTATTTTGATGTCACACTTTCCTTCGACTCTGCGTGCCATCAGTGTGGATTGATTTGAATCTAACAATGATTACAAGCCAACAAAATAACAATGTTAATATTAATATTTCATATAGCCATTAGACAGGATGCACTTGTACAATCTTCTAATATAATATATTATTCAGCACTTCTGAAAACTGTGATTTTTACCCACTGCATGTTTTCTACAGCCGCCCCTCACTTTTGGATTAACACCATATGTTTATAGGTTTGCAGTGGCATGCATGGGTTGCTTTGATCCGAGCTGATATTAGCATGAGTGTTCTCACCGAGTAATTATCATGTGATTCACAGGTTATTTTTAGGCATGGTGTTATTGTGTTAGAAGTTTAAGCAGGGGTGCTTTTTTTGATTTTCGTAGGAGTTTATGTTCTTATTTTGTAATATTGTTGGTGTAACATGCCAACAACAGCGGTTATTGCAGTTTTAGGGTTAAGGTCTTAAGAAGTCTTAATCTCAAAATTTCATTACATTTGTTTCTCTGCCATTTGATTTCACACTGTCTGATGTGTTGCTCATTACCTGATACAACACAGAAAGCACATGGAAAACACAAAGAACTCAAACATGATGAGACAAAATGACACAGACGGACATTTATCTGCATCTTATTACTCCTCCAAAGTCTTCGCCACTGCACCAGAGCTCTAACTTCACCCCTCCATTATTTCCCCTCAATCCTTACCCCTCTAGGCTTCAAACTGCTGATGAATCACAGGGCCTGTCCTCCTATGTCCCCCTGTCTTCCCCCCAGCCACCTCTTACCACGCACAAAAACAGCATCAGCACACAAAAACAAGACTCGGGCAAAGTCAAACCTTCAGATCCTCAAACTTCTAATACGGGCCAGTCATCTGGCACCAACAGTGCAGTTATGACGCCCAAACTGGCTCGTGCAGGACCCAAGATCTTTGACAAGGTCCTTGCCTTTGAGGAGCGATGGGCGAGTGTGGATCTGCCACGAGGGGCAGCTTCCTTTGACTCAGATGAGAGTGGAAAGAAGACAGGAGGCCCGAGCAAAGATGAGAGTCGAATACTGCAGGGCGCAGCCCAGAAGAGAGCGGTATTCAAGCAGAGGGCCTCTTCATTAGAGGACAAGACAAACTACTCCCAGAGGATCCAGAATTACCAGAGCAAGTTCACAGAAGAGCTCCAGCGGATCAAGAAGCTTGTGGGGAAACCAAGCTTGAAGAAGGCATATTCCACTGAGCAGCTGTCACAGAAAGACAGGCTGCACACGGGGAAAGTAGAACCCATTCCTGCCCAAGTGGTTAAAAAGTTAGAGGCGAGGGAGCGAGCCCTGGAGGAAGGAAAAGTTGGGGAGAGGGAGGGGGGCAGCATATGGAAGAATTCTCCGCAGGCCCAAGGCAAAGACCCGGGGAATCAGAGCAGCAGCCCCGAAAAGGAAAAGATGACACAGTCAGATTTGCACGGGAAACCAGTAGATAGCGCAAGGAAAATCTCTGTTACCACGGCAACGCCACCAGTTCACCAGTTACCAGGACAACCATCGCCAATAGCTACAAAGACGAGCCTAATCAGGTTTGAAGAAGATTATCTTTACTTATGAAATTTTCTCTTAAAAAAAGATTCCAATATGATCACATTTGTGTATTTTTCTTTGAGGGATTTGAAATTTCTTTTAAAAAACAACAACTAAGCACTTAATGGAAATTAAGAGTTTTAGACATGTAATATATTTTTTTTCCCTCACTTGTTATATTACATAACAGCTTTCTCATCTTTTGCGTGCAGGGAAACCCTACAAAGCTCTCTGGCAGCTGACAAAGACACACTTGTTAACACATCCCACAAATCTTCATCCTCCTCCAGAGTTGATTCAAAGAGAGACACCAACATGAACAACAAGGCGGACCACCGATCACCAGGCCCAACAGGGAAGAGAGCATCCCCAGTAACTGTAAGGGAACCAGGACCCCAGTTCCCACCCAAGCCTCCTCGGCTCACCCCATCACCCAATCCTTCCATCAGCCCGCTCCTAAAACGAAGGAAGGCGGAGGTGGGGCGGACATCTCCGGCCATGAAAGTGAACATCCCCACCATCCTGGTGGAGGATGAACCCATGGAGACAGAAAGTGTTCCACACAGGAGCAACGAGGGAAGCAAGAGGGAGGGCAGAGTACACAAGAGCAAAAAAGGCCGTTCTGCTCAACGGAAGTCTGCAGACGAAGGTAGGTGAGCTTTACGAGTGTTCTAGATAAACGTGTTTGTAAAATATCCAAGCAGCATCCATCACAGATGAGAGTCTAGAACTGGATGAACACTTTAGTGATTTTGGGAGCCATTAGGTTCCTGCCTGTGGCTTGACTGACCCAACTGTTGTCCAGTTTGTTTCTTTACACAAATAACAAAACAAATACAACCACCTTTTGTTGTCCCTTTAGAAGTCTTTGAGGCTTTATCTATGGATTTCTGCTCAACTACCAAGTCTACCAAGTTGCCAGGCTTACAGTACTATTTTCATAAATGTTCCCATTTGGCAGGTCAAATAAAATAAAATATCTAGACAAAGTGGTAGAAGGGAGCATAATGACAACCATAACCCTAACAAAAGAGCACTAGGAAGCTGTTGGATCTTAAGAGATTAAATAACTCCCTTAGCCCTAAGCTAAAAAGTTTTGCTATCATATCTGATTAAAGGTTTTTGTTCTGTTTCCCCTTTGACCACCACTGAGTGAGATTATTAAAAAAACAAAAAAAACAATTTAAACTGTAAAAAGATTTCACCGACTTTTGTCGACTACCAGGGGTCAGAGAACTAGACTTTTTTGGGTTGTGACTTCACTCTTAAAGAACGTAAAGTAATACTGGGTGTTTGTTTGCTTCCCATTTTAACAACTTTTGCTTTTTTGTGCCTCATTTGTGACTTTAAGATCTGAAACACAAAAAGATCTTATTGGAGATTTATTACCTTTGCTAGGCTGTAAGTCCCCGAATAAGAAAAACATGCACATAGAAATAAAAAATACAGATTACAAACTAACAAGGAATGATCAAAAAGGTTGAACTTATATATATTATGTTGTCCACCATGGAAAATTAATCAAACCCAGAATTGCTGCCGGGCCCAGACTCACTAATGAAACTCTTTTCATCATGGGGATCCGTAAAAGGAAACTAGCCCAATGGCTTAATTTGGAGTCTGACCCAGTTTTCTAAAGCAGGTAATAGAGCACCGGCAGCTGCACAGAAAACACTCTGACCGTCCCTCTAATTCACAGGCGGTTCTTCCGATGACTCTTACCTGTCTGCTGATGATGAGCCAGCTGAGGCCCCGAGGTTTGAGAAGCCTCTTGAGGACACCACCGCACCCAGTGCCTCTGAGGTCACACTGCAATGCATCATCACTGGCAGCCCAACCCCTACTGGTACAGCTGAAGACAAGTCACCATTTTAACATCCCCATTTTCTATCATTTTCTTTTTTTGAATTTAGTAAGGAGACTGTTTTCTGTTAAGTGCTGTATAAAGTGATTTCTTGCACACATAATCTTATGAAATCTGGTCAATTTTAAGTGAAACTCTCATAAACCAAATCAATGAGCCTTTTCATTTCACATGTTTGCAAGCTGACTTCTTCCATATCAGTTTTTCAGTGTTTGTGTTTTCTCTCTCTTTCACCTTTTCAGTGACATGGAGGAAGAATAATATGGAGATCCGGTGTGACGCGCTCCATGTGGTTAAAGCTGAGGGCGAGAAGCATAGTCTGGTGATAAAGGAGATGAGGCTGAGCAATGCGGGGTCATATTGCGTCACGGCTGTCAACGCAGCGGGCAGAGCGTCATGCAGTGCGACGCTCTACATTCAGTCAGGTGAGGCTGGGCCAGAGCCTGCTTTCAAGCCCTGTGCGATACTTTAAATATTGGTATCAATTCGATTACCAAGTAAATATACAGCCTGTATTGCCAGTTCCAATACAGATACCGATAATTTTAACCTATAAATGCAGCTTTTATGGGGGTGAGCAGTGTGTCATGATTTATGAGATGAGTCATCTTCCAAAAATATTACATTTATTTAACACTTTTCAGTAGATGCTGAACTTAGAAGGACAGAAACAAAGTATCCATCCTATCGCACTAGTATCTATCCAGTACCAATACCAGCGTATCGATGGTTGCATGTATCCGCCCGCCTCTACTGCTTTCTTGTTTTGCAGTTAGACATGGTGACACATTTTACCAGCACAAATTTTAAATGAGGAGAGCGACACCGGGGGGAACATAAAAACGATGCTGTTCTCAAACATGTTGACTCACACTTTAATCCGCTGCCAGCCCTCCTCCGCCTGACATTCTGTCTTAATGACTACAAAGGCCCGCTGGAGCTCAGCATCCTGACCGGGGCTTCTTGCAGCGATAGTTGCCATGGCAACCCATTAATTCTTGAAGGCACCGAGCTCCCCCTCGGCATGAATTCAAAACGCAGACCTGCCTCCGTCACACAAAGGTCTCCTGAGCCTCAAAGGCAGCCGTGGCATTCAAAATCAGGCAAAAAAAGGGAAAAAAAAGCGCCTGCAGTGGACGGGTGTTTATACTACACTGTGCATGAGAGAAGCTCCCAGCAGTGCCGGTTCGGCCTCATGCAAATGCAACTTTCCCCTCTTCACAGTTTTGTCAACAAATGCGAGCGCTCACCCTGGTGCTTTTCCGACAGCAGCACGCGGGCCTCTGTTGCCATATTAGGCCAGCGGAGTCTAACTTTGCAGGAGTATTTTTAGAAGGCCTCTTGTTCTCTCGGGTAATTGCCGTCTGTTTTATGTCCCCGCTCGAGATTACAGCTGTAATCGTGGAGTTTTTCATCACTTCAGATTTCACGCTACAGGGCTTGGGGATGGAGCTGCCAGAAAGTGGCGGGAGATTATGTGAGTCATTTTAGCCGAGAAGTGTGTAGATTGTTGCCACGACAAGCCAAAATAGTGGGTGAGATTGATTTACTGGCTTCAAAGAAATATGCGCGAGCATAACACAGGCCTATTGTCATTTTTGCATTAAAAAAAATCAAAGAAGTTGAAGAGCCACAGCTTTGTGACTCAGTGGAGTCTTTAAAAAATGACCTAAGCTTTAATGAACTTTTAAAATATTCACCTTTTTCATCAGCCCAGGATGTCAGGACTGTAAGAGAATAAAGGCGTAACAGTGATGGGAAGCAGGACAGGGTGGAGGAAAGTTGGTCAGCTCACACTGTTTGGGAGTTGTGTAAGAGTTGGCAGGTTTACATAAATACTCTGGGGAGTTATCCCCTGGTGCACAGACGCCGCTCAGAGATGTGACTCTAGGTAGGTTATTTTGTTGTTTTTATCCCCCCCCCCCTCACCCCTTTTTTTAATGCTATAAGCGCAACAGAATATCCACCTACGTCGCTTAATAATTTGGCATAAACAGTGTTTTTTTATCGTGTTTCATTGCTATTAGTCAGCTTTTCCATATATGGCTTTCGGTGCATTTCTTTCCATCTGTACATGCGACCAAGCCTGCCTTTCACTTGCAGATGATGACCTACTTTCCCTTTATTTTGCACAGTTGAATGTCATGCAAAATACCTATCAGTCCACTGTTCTGCCATCTGAAAGGGGGGGACATGTCTTTATTCTACTTGGGTAATTGATTTTATTCATTTTCACTCGCAACGTTATCTAGTCATGCCAGATATGTGAGGTCTTGGGCTTTGCAGAGATTGTGAAACGCTGACACGAAAACGAAGGCAACAAAAGAAGAAAGAGAGACAGAAAGAGAGAGGCAGCTCTTTATATTTCTGTGAGTTGAGTCTGACTGCAGTCCAGACTGCCAAGGGTCCAGACACAGTGTCTGATCTAGAACTCGTGGGAATGAGTGAATGATTGGGTCAGGGATTAAGGGATTAATTCGTTATCTGTTCGCTTATGGTCACTTCAGATGGTCCCTGTGCTCAGTGTGTGCAGGTGCATGTGGCCCACTTGTGTCTAACCCACTGCTTTGTGTTGCCAAGTGCTCATTTTGGCAAAGATCAACACCAGCAAAGCAAAAAAAAGACCATAAACATAACGAGCTACGCTGGTGCCATGTTAACCATATTTCAAAAGGCTTTGCACTCAATTACTTAAATTAAGACGTGTGTAAATCAGAATTGACTTTTTTGTGAACTCAAATAAAAATGCATTAGACACGGCGGTAGTATGCTTGTAATTCTATTATATTTGTGTCCGATATCTTGTTCTTCCAGAGCCGACCCACACGCAATGTGGGAAATCTGCTGTATCTCTGGAAATCAGCAGTCCAATCCAGTCAGATGAGGAGTACCTGAGTCCTCAGGAGGAGGTGATGGAGGTCGGAGGCTCACTTCCTCACCATTTAAAAGAGCGTCTCTCATTTCAGGTAAAAGTATAAAAGCTCCTTATGATTTTTCTTTAAATAACAAGCGCAGCGTCATAGTCGATGTCTCTGATATCCCCATTTCGGTGTCTTTCCCGAATCATCATAATTAATGTTGGTCCAGGTTCGACACTGCAAGTGACCAATCACATTGTTGTGATGTATTGCCAAAAGTATTCGCTTGCATATGAATCTGAATGACATCCTGTTCTTAATCCTTAGGGTTTATTTTGATAATTTGATAAACTCTTTGCAGCTCTAACAGCTTCAATTCTTCTGGGAAGGTTTTCCACAACCTTTAGGAGTGTTTATGGGAATTCTTCCAGAAGCACATTTGTGAGGTCAGACACTGATGTTGGACCAGAAGGCCTGGCTCGCAGTCTCCACTTTAATTAATGTCAAAGGTGCTCTATCAGGTTGATGTCAGGAGTCTGTGAAGGCCAGTCAGGTTCTTCTACACCAAACTCGCTTATTGGTGTCTTTATGGACCTTGCTTTGTGCAGGAAGGAAGGATCCAGCTGCAAACTGTTCCCACAAAGTTAGGAGGATAAAATTGTCAAAAATGTCTCGTTATGTTGAACAATTAAGAGTTCCTTTCACGGGAACTAACCCTGCTGGCCCAACTCCTGAAAAACAATCCCAAACCCTAATCCCGCCTCCAACAAACTTTTCACTTGGCACAGTGCCATCAGACAAGTACTGTTCCTATGGCAACCCCCAAATTCAGAGCCATCAATTGGATTTTACTGCATTTAACTTAAAAAAAAGAAAGAAAAAGAAGAAACAATTGTCTGTTGTCATTAATGGCTACTCTCTTCCGTGTGAGGTGTTGCTGCACACTCTGTCTTGTTTTCCAGGTACGCAGGTATTGGGGCCACAGGCAGGTCCCAAAACAATCGGACATAAATATGAGTTACTGCACATGGAAATATGAATCTTCTTTTGATTGTTCTCTGACCTTAAGATCACACTGTCCTGCAATATTCATTTTCCTAGTAGCAAAATGGCAATCTCCATGGACATATCCTTTTGCATTTCATACCATGACTCCACTTGCTTCATTGCAGCATTACTTGATAGCTGCAGTCATTCTGGGCACGGTCAGATTTTACTTCCAATCTGATAAAACTGGAGCAAAGCTTAGAGATTAACCTTAAAAGCCTTTATATGTAATCATGTTTACATTCTTTAATAGGTGGCACCATGTGACCAGGCGGTAACCGAGGGTCAAGATGTTGTCATGTCAGTGAAAGCCAGAGGCCAGCCCAAACCCATGGTTTACTGGTAAGACATCTTTTTTTCCCTCAAGGTTTTATTGCAGCTAGACATCTCAGGAGAAACCTGAAGCTTTTATTACAATCAAGGTCACTAACTGTCTCACACAAACACCCCTCCATTACGCGCCTGAGCATAAATGATTCTGACAGCCGCTTTATACTGACCCAGGCTGAAGGACAGAGTCTCGGTGAAGACAGCAGGGCGCTTCACTGTGCAAGAGATGGAAGATGGCACCAGTGAAATGAGGATTGGCTCGGCTCAGAGGTCAGATGCAGGGCTGTATGCTTGCAGGATCATCAACGAGTATGGAAGCAAACAGGCAGAGTGCAGACTGGAGGTCAGAGGTAGGTGATGAGAAACTGAACTGAATGTTTAGTCATGCCCTATCTTATAGTTCTTCCTTATATATGCTCTATTTGTGCTGTTTTCTTTTTCTTTTAATCAACCGCTGCAGCACAAACGGCGTTGACGATCACCAGGGAGGTAAAAGACGCAGCAGTGAGGGCTGGAGAATCAGCCGTGTTTGAGTGTCACATCACGGGACCTCCAGATGTGGACGTGGACTGGCTGTCCAGGGGGAAGCTGATCCAGCCTGCACTGCTCAACTGTAAGATGCACTTTGACGGAAAGAGGTAGGTCCACCTCATGTTGCTGTCACTGCAGCACATTTTATTATCTGACAGATTTTTGGTGTCATTAAAAGAAAATTAATTCATTTATTTTTCTTTATGCTATAGGTGCCGTCTCATGCTAAATTCAGTACATGAAGACGACAGTGGGACATATACTTGCAAGCTGAGCACTGCCAAAGGTGAATCATAAGCAGTGTTGTCCCTGTTGCTGAACAGAAGATGAGGTGTGATCAAAAATTTTCAGTCTGACTAAAAACCTGTGCAAATTTCCCCTTCAAAGCCATCTTCTGATGCCGCTGCTCTTTTTAAATCACCTGTACAAATCTGGGATTTTAACCTCAATGATTGTTTTCCCCAGATATTTTTAGACAGGCACAGTACAGAGTTCTTCTGTCACACTGGCCTCGTTTCGCAAATGTGGCTTGTGCCTTCTTCCTCTTCCCTAAAACGATATAATTCGGGGGTGTCAAACATAAAGCCCCAGGACTACAACTGGGCCTACAAAGACTCATGGGACATCTTACATTTTAGCTTACATTTTGGAATTTTAACTGTATTTTCATAAATTGTACTTTTTTTTCTCCTGATAAAGCCCACTCATAATACAGGAATAAAGTAATAGATAAATCATCACATCATAGATCATCACCCACTACAGAATTTTTTAACAATTTATGCACAGGGGTTTTAAATAGGTGCACCTATGGTTTCAATTTGAAAATCCGAAATCCGGAATATTCTCGAGTTACTGCATTCACAACATTTTCAGAAAACTCTCAAGTTCTAAGCTCAGAAAACTCTGAACCGCTGGTATGAATTTAAAAATTCTAGGTGACTTCCTTCCTGAGTTATCTCATTTACAAACTTAGGCGTCCATGCAGCCCGTCTACTTATCCGACTGGCCGATGGGGTGACGATAATATGTAAGGCATCAGCCTTTTGCGGTTGAGGGGTAAAGACTAAGACATACTGTTGACATTGCACTTATACTTCTTGTACTAAGATATTTCAGAGATTAAATGTGCAGTTAAATATCTTTACAGTGACAGAAAGGGAAGATGTGTGTGGCCCATAATCTATGGCCTGATCTAACTGGTTGGCTCCTTTTCTTCCCAATGAGTCTAACCTGAAGGTGGAAACATGGCAAATTTAAATCACATAAGGTTTTTTTTTATGATCACACCTTTAATTTATGCTGGGTTTTCCATTTCGTGTTTTTGTCTCCACTAGAGGGGTTTTGGTTCGTTGCTCTCCAACTTCTTTAGATGTGATTGAACATATTTCAGTGATACACTTACTAACAGGGCGCATGTGCATCTACAGAGGAGCTGACCTCGAGTGCAAAACTGATCGTCACGCCGTCCAAGGAGCCTCTGTTTACACGAAAGTTGGACATCCTGGAGGTCATCGAAGGACGCACGGCACGGTTTGACTGTAAGGTGAGCGGATCGCCTGCTCCAAGAGTCACATGGATGCATTTTGGTAAGAATCTCAAAGCGGCGGTGCGGTGTTCCTACATTTTGTTGTTTTTTTAGGCTTGTCCAAAGAAATGTTTTTTTTAATTTGTCTTTTATAACGTTCTTTCAGAGTCACAAGTGGAGGAGAGTGATAACATTCACATCCTTCAAGAGGGGGGTCGTCACTTGCTTGTCATCACCCACGTTGGCAGTGACACAGAAGGATTTTACACAGCAGTTGCTCAAAACATTCACGGAAAGTCTGAATGCACTGCTGAGCTGTACGTGCAAGAACCCCGAGCTGCCATCTCCTCTCACATGTAAGAGAAGCAGTTTGTTTCTATTTGCATCTCATCCCTAATTGTGTAATTGTTCATTCTTTGAAGGCTTTGAGAAGAAAACAAACTATTTTTAAAAAAAGATCAAAGGTTCCAGGTTTTGCTTTCTAGGGCAAAGAAAAATAGCTCAGATGGAGCGAATGCGTGTGATAAAATCAATTCGACCTGTTCTTTTCTTCCTCCAGGTCCAAGTTGGAGAAGATGCCGTCCATCCCAGAGGAACCTGAAGTGTTCGACAACGAGGTGGAGAAGAGGACCATGCCGGACTTTGTGCAGCCTCTGGCTGATGTGGAAGTGATTGAAGGGAAGGAGGCGGTGCTGAAATGCAAGGTGGCGGGCCTGCCATACCCAACTATTGCCTGGTATCACAACAGCAGGCGCATTGAGAACAGCGAGGAGCGCAAAATGACTCAGTGTAAGCAGATAAACACACAAAAATAAGCTGTTCAAAGTGGGGGAAAGATGGCGAATAAGAAACCTGTGTGTCTGTTCTCCAGACAGGGATGTCCACAGTCTGATCATTCGGAGCACTTGTCATGCTCACGGAGGTGTTTACAAGGCTGTCATCTCCAACAAAGTGGGCAAAGCAGCCTGCTATGCTCATCTGTATGTTACAGGTAATCATAGATACACACTGTTTAATGGTGTACATTATGGATACACAATTTCCCTAATATTATTGTGAAATATATAAATATATATGTATGTTTTTGGAAACAGATATTGTTCCTGATCCTCCTGATAGGCCCCCGGTGATTGAGGCCATTACAGGAAAAACTATAACCCTCAGCTGGAAGACACCAAAGAGACTCGACCCTTCACTTGGTAGGTTCATAACACACCTGCAGGCTGGTGCAACACAGGTGTGTTGGAAAAATCATGTTTAAAGAGCTCGAACAAAGAAAGTGCTTAGGTCTCCCACTGACTTATATAAAACATTTGGAGATGATCCAATTGAAGCTAAAATTTTGTCCTAATTCGTGTGACTCTAACCTTTGACCTATGACCTTAAGGTACATTTCGAAATCCATATGATTGAAGCAGAACTGGTTCAAAGCCTTGGCTTCTAGAAGCTTTAAAAGATTTTAAAATATAGTCATGCAGTGTGTCATTTTGCACGATTGTATGGCATCACTGTGACGCTGTAGCGTGTCAAATTGGAAAAAATGAAAAGTGTGTTGTACAGCTCTCTCCATGCATTTTCACGTGAAATATTACTTGATATGGTGTCCTGAAAAGGTCAGTTTTGACCTTGGGCGCTAACAATCAAGGTCTAGGTCAAATATGTAGCCAGCCTTGGTCCCAGTGTGACCTCAGGCCTAGTATATTATTGTGAAGTTTGAAGATGATGCATAAAAAACTGTGGGTTTTTACTAATTTTAAAATCGACCTTAATCTCGACCCAATTTTCCCCAAAATGAAATCAGCTTGAGCTGTTATTGATATCTCCCATCACACACAATTTAAAAACGATGTCTTGAAAACTGTGGATGATAGACTGCTAACAAACAAACAAACTGAACTGATTACATACTCTCTCCCGTCGAGGGGAGAAAAAATACAGCATTTTTAGCACCTTAATCGTGTCTTTGCCACCAAGTAATTAAGGAGCATGTGTGTTTACAGATGCTGGCTCCTTGGTGTATGTGGTCCAGCAGCAGCCTCTGGGCTCCATCCAGTGGTCTGTTGTGGCATCAAACCTGAGGGAGACAAACTACACCGTCACCTCGCTGTCAAAGGGAGTCCGCTATGCTTTCAGAGTCCTAGCATCCACTGGGAAGATGCTTAGCAAGCCATCGCCTGCCACTGATCTAGTCCAGCTGCTGGACAGAGGTATCAAGTGTGTTTAAGAGGCTTATGCTACCACTAATCTGATAATCAACCTTAAAGGACATCATATCTACTTTTAGGACCAGTTTTGCTTTGTTTTCTTGTAACATACCTTTGACTTCTCTAGGACCGTACTTGAGGAAAGCGCCGATAATTATGGACAAGCCAGAAGTTGTGTACGTGGTTGAGAACCAGTCTGCCAACATCACCATCACGCTGAACCATGTGCATGCAGCTGTCACCTGGAAAAAGTTAGTTTATTAACCTTCCAGTGATGTCCTTGTGATGTCATTAAAATTTTTCATCTGATTTCTTCATAGCATTCATCAGGGTCTGTTTCATAAACTGGATCATATTAACCCCAAGCTTCTTGGGGTTTATTTGGCAGCCCTTATACTAAAGACTAAAAACTTAAATATACAGTTCAAAAGCTTTCATGATGGCTTTAGGGGACTATTAGTGTACTTAATGCTGATCGAGACATACAGCTTGTCAGAGTAAGCCTTTCTTAGTTAAGAAAGACTATGTCGACACACATTCTGCATGTTTTACAAGTCTGGGTGCTAAACTGGCCAGCCTGCAGTCCAGACTCATCACCCACTGCCAACATTTGTAGCACAGAAAATTAAATAATGCAAAGCCCACAACGCTGTGCAACAATCAAAACAAAAAAATTGGCTTTCAAAACTACAACAGTTGGTCTCCTCTTACTGGGTTAAAGAAGACTCAGTGCAGCACACTGGTAAATATGGCCTTCTCCCAACTTTTCTGAAACCCGCTTACCTCAGGAGGGGCGTGGTGCTGGTCAGTAAGCCGGGGATGTGCGAGATGAGCATGCCGGACGATGATCAACACACCCTGAAGCTGCAGAGGGTCAGGAGCACGGACATCGGTCAGCTGGTGGTCACGGCCAGCAACCAGTTTGGCAGCGACCTGTGCACACTTCAGCTGGCCATGGCAGGTCAGTCCAGACAGGCGCACCACGTGACAAATTTAGCATTTTAGTGAGAATCCAAACAACTTTCTACTTATGTCAGCAAGACAAAGTGTGTCTTTATTATTTGATCTGTTGCTTAAAAACATCAGCTTTTATATTCATTTAGTGCCCAAAGGAAGATTGAACAACAGCGAGACCTGTCTGTCACGGCCTTTTAAGTTCCCCCAAAAAAACCATACTCCAAAAAAAAGCCATGGGGGGCAACAGGGGGTTTGTTTCAGAAAGCACCTCCGACTTTTCCAAAAGTACAATTAATTACAGATTTAAATAGCAAAACTAGCTTAAGCATATTTTTACTGTTTTAAAGAAAAAACAATAATGGATACAAATTATGATTCATAAGAATTCAACAAAAATGGCCACAACACCATAAAATGTACTCTGTATGTGCGGTCCATAGTGCTTCTCCAGCTTAGAGATGAGCTTCTTCTTTCCTCCTAATTTTCCTGCAGTGCCTCCCAAATTTGAGACCATAATGGAGGACGTAGATGTGCAAGTCGGGGAAACATGTCATCTGGCTGTTGTGGTCGAAGGAAAGCCAGATCCGGATATTCTGTGGTTTAAGGTAGTACATCCAACATTAGACTATAACTCAACTCAACTCAACTGAATACTCGGATGATTTTTTTTAGGTGAATGCTAATAGCTGATTGATCTGCTGCAGGATGATGCGCTCCTCTCGGAGAGCAGCCACTTCACATTTGTTTACGACGACCCAGAGTATTCACTTGTCGTCCTGAACGCTCAGCCCGATCACTCCGGCGTGTACACCTGCACTGCCAAGAACCTGGCCGGGTCCAACTCCTGCAAGGCCGAGCTCACAGTTCATACAGGTCTGCAGTCCAGCGATATTCTTACAGTGGTTGAAAAGATTAGGAATGTGTAAAGTTGATAAGTTTCATATTCAAAAGTATTGTGCTAACAGATTTTTCCCCCATTTGCTGATGATATTTACTGCTTAGAATCGCTAATAAAGGCTAGCTGTTGTTGAAAATTGCTCTTCTGAATCCGCACCATATGGGCGGGACCACAAGGTGTTTTGAAATTACAATGTGAAGCCATCTGTCTCTGAGCTGACACATAAATACACCCACATATCAGTGTGTGCACCCCCCCCACACACACACTCACACACACATCCATACACACAAAGCCAATAAAGATGCCTATGTTGATGCTTTTCTCCAGAGCGAAAAGAAGCAGAAGAGCCAATGGAGGATGAGGGAACCATTCTGAGGAAGATGAGGCGTTTGACAGATTACTATGACATCCACAAAGAGATAGGGAGGTGAGTGTGCGCACTCTTCCTGCCTCACATCCCGACGAGGACGAGGACACTGACGTTAATAGTTACTTGAGCGCTCAGGGTCGGCCTGGAGGGCGGGAGGTAGGGGTAGGAGCTGGTGCGGAGGGGTTGTGTGTCTGTGTGTGATGGGAGGGTGGCGGTGGGGTTAGTTGCACCTGCTTAACAACAGCAGACAGAAACGACAGATGAGTCACCAGCCACGAGAGTGGAGTGAACGCATTAGCCAATGACAGATGATTTGTTTTGGTCTAGAGACAGGCATTTACTGTGAATTGCATAGCCACTGGGATGGTAAAACAGGCAGATGAAGAAATCTGTTTTCCACCCAGTGAACAGCACGAGTACCCCAGTAATGGAGTTCAGATTATGAGTCCTCCCAAATATCACAGAAGAGTGCCTAAGGAGAATGAAAGTTAATTATACAATGACTATTGCCCCTCCATGTCTTTCCATTGTTCTCACAAAGAAGAATTTATTAATAAAGTGGAGGGAAAGGAAGTTAGTCATTAAAGGGATTAAAGGGACCTATTATCAAGGCATATATATA